CCCCAAAACCCCAAAACCCCATCAGAATTGATTGAGCCAATAGAATGGGCGAATAGATTATAATAAAATATTATAATGAGATAAATTGTAGCCGCAGCAAATATTATGGCGGCTAAAGTACTTTGTATTATACTTTTTGGAATCACATTTTCCTGCAGTCAATAGATAAATAATCCTTGATGCTCTCATTTCAATATAACTATCAATAATATAGAGCAAAAGGTCCCATTAATGACAAACAGGATACTGATAGAAGTTATTCCGAATGATGAAATTGAGATAGTCAACACTGAAGAAGACTTTGAGAGACTAAAATCCCACTCAATAGTATTGAAAGAAAAATTCTCTTCAAATGTAATTCGATTGCACTTAGAATAAAAACTTCTAAAAGGATAAAAGAATTAAGTAGATCTTAATTACAATGTTGAACTTGATCCTATTATCCAGAAAATTCTTTTGAGATCTTGCAGTAATCACTAGAAGCATGGGCACTATATGATCTTTATCTAAGCCTAAGTCTTTGATTTGGAAAACAATAAAATCTTATTAGATTAGAGGCTAAATATGGAAGGTGCAATATACCATTAAAGTGAATCAGAAAGATTGATTTCTCATGGAAACTATGAAATGACAAATATTGCCAGCTTAGATCCTTTAAATCTTGCAATAATTTCTGCAAATTATCTAGATAAAAGCAGAATCATCAAATACACTTAGTCATTACAAGACTATGAAAAGATACTAAGTACCATCGTATTAACTATTATCAATGGAGACTACTGAAAATCTCATTGGTGCTATTTTTATCAACTGTCTGAAAGCAATTCTCAAAGAATAACTAAGTCAGTGAAATACAGAGGCCAATATAAAGGCTCTGATCAAATTTAATGCTAGATATAGTCAGATTTTAGTTTATATGGAAATTTATATTTGACTCTACTTGTCAATAACTAATATTATACAAATTTTGTGACCTTAAATGCTTTTGAGATCAATGATTTTCATTTAGTTTAGCCATAGACATTTCATGGACAAACTACTGCTGTTGACATTGTATTTTTAATAAAGCAAACAGAAGGTATTATGCCTTCATATTTGAAAATATAGATTGATGACATTTATTATGAGGCTGTTGAATTTGAATAAAGCATTGATGTAAAAAAGTATATTACTAAGATTTAGACTCCCTTAGTATAGAGAAAATAATTTTCAAAGAATATTAGATATTCATTTAATGGTAAAGATTTCTACTTGAGTTAAATAAAACTTTAATACTTACCAGATATATAGATTTAGGAAATCTATCCCACTAGGATTTTTCTTAACACAGAGGCTATTGTTAGAATTTAAATTCTTAATATCGATAATGAGCAGAGCTATTGGTGTTAGACAAGTGATGACTAGATTATCAAAGGAGAATTAAAATAAGAATACATTTAGAAATTCAGCTTATACAAGTATTATTTATTCTGCTAATTGAAAAGTCAGTAATTTCCTGTTAATATAAAACTATATATATTGACAAACATGAAAAGTTATTAAGTTGATTCTGATAACATAATTTAATATATTGCTGTTGGGAATGATTCATTAATATTAAACCAAAATGATCAGATAAGAATAATTAAAAGTTTTGTAAACTAAATATAAAATTAAGGCTTTGATATTCTTCTATATCTAGGATAGAGCTATGATCTGAAGTTTATATTTAACTAAACTATTAGAGTTGATTCAAAGAATTATTATTGTTAATTCGAAAATTAAAAGGCTAAATATTAATCATATTTGAATTAAGAAGAAAATAACATGACATATAGTTGTGCTATACCTATATTCCTTCATGAAGCTAGTGAAACTTATGAAATATATATTGTTGATGATCGAACTAAAATATTGAACAGATTTGATCAATTGCGATTGCTTTTGATTGAATAGATAATTCTATAAGATTCAAGCATCATATTTGGTAAGCAAGGCCAAATAAATATTACTAACTAAAACTAAATTGACTATGAATAGTACAAGGCTATTTAAAACGTTCAATGCCTGGTCAATAACAAGCATTAAACTTTGGGCAGCTATAATTTTGAAAGCCAA